TCTCTCTCTCTCTCTCTCTCTCTCTCTCTCTCAAAATCAACAAAGACTAAAAAGATAAAATAAATCTGAATGATCTCATAAGTACACCCATTTGCAAGGAAATGATATCATACTTTAGGAAACCAAAGAGAGGAGCAAGGTCTCTGGGGCTCAATTATCAGATGCCTCAGCCAAAGGTAAATTTTCTTTTTGAAGAGCCTCTGTTAGTTCCTGGAGGAATGAGTTCATGACACAGTTTCCTGTTTGGTTTCCACAGTTTTAACTTGCTCTGAAAGCTCAGAAGGAAATGGTTTGTTGAACAGCCCATTTGCCCTTTTCTACGTGAAAACATAGCCACACTGGAGGCCAATGATTACAGCTTCATCATCGAGCTAATTGTTCTTGCTGAGCTGTGCCATGCATTTCCCACACCAGGCAACCCTGAGAGCTCAGCAAGCCTGGGCCTCTTCATCTAAACACGCAGAAGCTGTCCCGGGATAAGACAGCTGATCTTTTTGTATGTCCCACAGTCTCTCTCCCCAGTAGAGAAGGAATCACTTCTGTTTTATTTCTTCCCAAATGAATCCGGAAGCAAAGGTTATTGCTTCCATGTGATAAAGACTATTAACTAGTCAAACATGGTAGCTTCTATTTATTGTGGATGTACTACAGGCTAGCATCTTACATATGTTTCCTATTACATTAGCGCTCACAAATAACTGCCATTTGACAGCTGAGTGGGACGGGTCTATTTTATATCCAAATGCACGAGTGTTTGCAGACATGAGTGTCCTTGTGGGATTTGTTTTGCAGCTGTAGGAGAATTCAGCAATGAAAATTATTGTATTCCTCTTAAAACCCTGAGTTGAGCAGAGGAAGGTCCTTGGCAGAGAGAGAGGGACGATTATTAAAAGTAATTCATATTTGGGGTTGTCTGGAAGCATTAAAAGCATAGAAGAATGGATTAGAGAATCTAATGTGGGTGAATATACTGCAAGGGATATAGCACTGGAATGGTGGAAGAAAATATCAATCCTATCATTCTTTACCTCATCCTTGAAATTTCAGTGTGAGTGTATGTTTTCTGATGTGTATAATATATTGGAGCAGGAATATCTTACTGCAGTAGAATGATTGTGCTTCTGAAACTAATTCTTTATATCTTCCTTTATCCAAGCTATTTGCCTATAACTTTATAGGGCTTTCCTATAGTGGGTGGGTTAACCTACCCTGCCCTTTGACTCTGAGTGTGGTCTTGTGACTTGCTTTGGCCAATGGGTTGGTTATAGGGCTTTCCTATAGTGAGTGTGGTCTTGTGACTTGCTTTGGCCAATGGGTTGAGCAAATGACATTAAAGAGAAGCTTATATAGTGCTTGCAATGATTAGACTGACTCTCTCTCTCTCTCTCTCTCTCTCTCTTTCTCTCTCTCTCTCTCTCATACCTTTTGCCATGGATACATGTCTGCTAAAGAATGAAAGCTATCTAGCCTAGTCTCCTCCTTCATTCCAGCTGTTAGCCAGCTGACTATCAGATATGAGGCCAAATGAGAAGAACCTTCTAGTTGAAACCAGCGTAAATTGATGACTCCCAAACTCATTAGCTAAATATATGCTTGGCATTTTAAGCCATTGAGTTTTGGGGTGGTTTGTGAAGCAATATTATTGCGATAATAAATGGCTTAAAATTTATGAATAACTAAATACACACTGATCATGGGAGTGTGCTCAACAATTTTAAATTATGAGATGTATGATCAATACAATGCTTGGAGACTATTCAGTTAAAGTTACTTCTAGGATTCCACTTCTCAGATTCTCACATTAGTTTAGTTATATCTATTTATATGAGTTTTTCCTCATGGTTCAAATTTTACCTAAATGTTCTCTTCTCTAAGAGGGCACCTCTGGCCATCCATCAGATGTAGATTTTTCCACCCAAGTCATTCTCTATCCTATTATTTTTTTTCCCTTCATCTTTTTTAAAATTTACTTTTTCATTGTTGACTCAATCTCTCTGGCCATCCATCAAATGTAGATTTTTCCACCCAAGTCACTCTCTATCCTATTATTTTTTTTTCCCTTCCTCTTTTTTAAAATTTACTTTTTCATTGTTGACTCAATCCTATTATTCTATACAAGACACACAAATATCTGAAATTTTTCTCCATTAGAATATACACTCTACAAGTGAAAGAACTTCATCTTTTCTTTTTTCTATCACTTGGTATCTCTAGTGTTTAGAATACTGCTTGGCACACTGGAGTTGCTAAAAAATTCTTGCTCAGTGAGTGAACAAGATGGATTTTTGTGGGTTAACATGAGGAATTGGTCCTAATATTTTGCATCTTTTAACTTTGTATCTACATAAGGAAATAAGACATTTTGTCTGTATCATTTTGACAGTGTTCCTTTCTCTTTGCTCTACGGAGAATACAAACCCTTAGTACACAATATGCAATGTTAGCAGAAGTATTAAGAACTGGGTTAATAAGACATCAGTCCTGGGGAATAGAGCAGCACTTGAATGTTCAAGGGCAATTGCTCTTATAGATAGTTTAGAAATAAACACAAGTTATCAGTCTTTTATCTAATTCATAATGATTCTTACTAGTATAAATAATTCTCACAGAATAAAATGGACAAAAGCCATTGATAAAGGCTAAGGTCGGGAAATGGTAAGGTTGAAATGTACAAATTTTGCTTTATGAAAATAGTGCCTGCTAGAGATAAAGGCTACAAGAAAAAACTCATATTGGTAAAAGCAATCATTGGTAAAATTTATTGTAGATAAAACCTGGATGTTGATTCAATTTTTATTGTTTAATTTATGGAAAATACTGGTCTTGAGTAAAATAATTTCAGCTAACATAAAAGGGGATCATTTGAAAGTTTTAAACGTCATTGTATATTAAGCCAATCAAAAAATTAAATGGGGTCAAAGGGCATTCACTTCAGGGAATTTTTAAAAAAGGAAAATCCAGTATTGGCAAGAAAATTTTTACAAAAATCTTTCTGTTAATATACAAAAGGTAAAAAAAAAGTTTTGTGGGTTAAAATTAAAATATTAAAGCGTCCATTAGGTCCAGCCTATATATGCGAGTCTTCTAGGGTATCTGAATGAATGAGAAGTTGGCTCTCTAAAACGTGGAATTATATCATCAGCATGTGGATTTGCTCTTTTCCCTGCCTACCTTACTCACCTCCAAAGTAAATGTCATTTGCTGGGGAAAAATCACTCTCTATCAGCTCCATCTGTACATACAGTTTACCTACCATGGAGATGACCTTTTGTCGTTTGGAATATGATCAGAGGAGTGGCATCTGGGTAGCTTGTTTGGAAGAGCCTAACGTCACCCCTTCACTGAGGAGAGCTCTCAAGCTGTAGGACATTTGAGCTCTCCATCCTCCCCTTGTAGAGCCGAGGACACTGAGGGTGGGAGTGAGGGAGTGAGGTTTCACAGCTCATTATTTAGGGTCACAGGTAATTATTACCAGATCTGATGCAAGAATCAAAATAGAAATCTTCCTTCCATCCTACCAAGCTGCATGGTTAGTAGCCCCGGGTTGGTTCATCTCAGATAGTTCACCCAACACTTCGGGTTCTGACATACCCAATGTTAATGTTGAAAATACCGACTTTCTAGAAAAAATTGTTGTATTTGCTTAATGTCTTTAAAGGCATTATAATAATCTACTTAAGAAAATACATGGAACAGACTGACAGGTGTCAGAGGGGAGGAGAGTGGGAGGGTCTGGATAAAAGAAGGCGAAGAGAGTAGCTAAAGAACATATATGCAGAGCCCATGGACACAGACAACAGTGTGGTGAAGGCTGGGGGTGGGGTGACGGGGCTAGGTGTAGGTGGGCAAAGGGGGGAAAATGGGAGGCATCTGTAATAGTGTCAACAACAACAAAAAGAAAATATGGAAGCCATATAATTTACCTAGTTCTTTCCTATGCACACATGCCAGCTTACTCATTGACCCGAGAAGACCCAATCAGCATTTCCAGGACTTCAGGGATTTTTCAGGGATTTAGTCTAGGATCCCAGAAATACAGGTCTGAGAGTAGACGGCATAAATTGTTATGAAAAGGAAATACTACAGAAAGAAGTGACAAAAATAACTAGTATATTCACTGTTCAAGGCCTGCAGATGAGCTAAGGCATGGAAGAGGTGGTACTGGGTCTGGAAGGGGCGTGGGTTTTGCACTTGGACGGGCTTGGGCCTCAGTCCTCTCTCTGGATTTAGCTGTGTGTCTGCACTCAAACTCTCTGCACCTCAGTTCCTCTCTCTATAAAATGAGGCAACAATTCCAGGTCCTGAAAGAGTTTCCGTGACATTGGAGCAAGTTTCAGTTTTAGATGCTCCTTAACTCACTCAGTTTAGCTAGGACCAATGGGATTTCAGTTAAGGTGACAGTGTTCAGCCGTCTCACTTCCGCCCCGGAATAAACATACAGTTTCCTTACAAAACAACAACAACAACCCCCACACAACAATCACAACAACAACAAAAAACGGAAACCACTTCCAACTTGTCCTGTTTTAAATAGAAATAACAACACACACACAACAATCACAACAAAAAAAAAATGGAAACCACTTCCAACTTGTCCTGTTTTAAATAGAAATAGTGATCAAAACCACCACCTTGGGTGAAGATAAAGTTATCAACTACTTAGGATAACAGATGTTCAATGAGGGGCAACAAGAATGGTGATCAGGCAGCTTCCCACAGACATCAACAACGAATTCTTAAAATCTGCCTGGCAAGGGTTTTAAAACTAACTCTAGATTGGGAGATTCTTAGGGCTAAGTCAAATCGTTACTTACTGGACTGCAGTGTCTCTGTCTTTCCAACCCTCCACAACCCTCTCTGTTTTTCCTTAGCTGGAGGCAGCCATGGGGTGGTCCTTTTGCAAGGCAAGGGGGCGATCAGGGGATGAAGACAGGCAGCTGAGCACCCAGGAATGGGAGGGCGGTGAGGAGAGCAGGAAAGCCCACGGCCATGGCACTCACCGCGGCCCACCACCAGGAGTGCGGGATGCTGGTGAAGTTGGTGCCGGGCACGTCGTGCTCCACGGAGTAGACGGCGGCGGAGAAGGAGAAGATGCCCATGGTGATGAAGAGCAGCAGGCAGCCCACCTGCTGGTAGCACTGGCGCAGGGTGAAGCCAAAGGCGCGCAGGCCGGTGGAGTGCCGCGCCAGCTTGAGGATGCGGAAGATGCGCATGAGGCGCATGACGCGCAACACCTGGCCCACCTTGCCCACAGTCTCCAGGTCGTGCTCCCGGGAGGAGCCCTGGCCGCGCCGCTGGTCCTCGTCCGTGAAGCACTCGAGCAGCAGCTGCAGGTAGAGCGGCAGGATGGCCACCAGGTCCAC